GGTGAACTCAGGAAAAACAAACAATGAACCGACACCGAACACAGGAAGAGACAAGACTAAATACAGGGAGGGGTAATCACAAGACGAGAAACAGCCGGGCAGGGAAGGAGAAACACAAGGACAACAGGTGAACACAATCAGACAATTAGACACACCAGGGAAACTAACGACAGGGAGGAAAAACACAGGGAGAGGGACCAGACAAGAAACAAGGAGAACAGGGAGAACAGAACAGCAAAATAACCGCAAAACTAGACACACAAAACTCAAACCCTGACACATCACTGGGATTTGTAGTCTTTCTAGTTGCATATTTTTCATAGTCTTATATTTCAACAGTTTTACGACAAACTGTGACTTTTTTGACATGGAAATTATTTTTTAAGATTGACAAACATCATGTGTAATTCGTGGCACAATTAAAACGGGATTGAAAGATAATCTTTCTCTCTCCATTGACTTCAATATATCATTTTTCCGACAAGGTCCCATGGGGCGGGACTTCGCCTCTCTATGCAAATGTAGAGTTAATTGCAGTATCGATTTCGGCCACTAGTGGCAGTGCAGATTTCAATGGTGCCGGGCAGCACTTGTGACAAAATAATTGTTCCAACTTTAAATGTACTCTGAGAAGTATGCTTCTAAAAAATCTATTTATTTTTATATTAATAACGACTAATAATAATCTGTTTATTCTCACGAAATTACATTCTGAGCATTCTGAAGTCTTACATATTTAATGTATTGTTTTACTTTGAAAATAACTTGAAATCTTTGAAAAATATTTCAGATATGCAGTGTTATCATCCACTTTTTTTCCCCAGCAAATAATATGACTCCAAGCTGTGATATTTGTGTTGTGACCACCTTACATCGCCTTTCATCCCGTTTTCTCTTGCTAATGAGGAGCCTGAAGCTAAGCCTGCCAAACATCTGGCCACACTGACCCAGTGACAAAGACTCTGTAAGGCGCACACAGATTTGAGCCAAGGCGTGCCACATGTAGACCTCTTCTCTGAAATCCTGGCCATCTGGGAGATTTTCTATGCCAGCGACATATTCCTTCTAATCCTGATTTCTGAAATTCATATGCACTCTTTCCTCCAGCCCTTTATGCCTCTCTGTGTGTCGTCTCTGTTTTGCTATTCATCTGCTGCTGCTCTTTGGTGTGTCAGCGGTGCATTAGCGAGTAATGACATTCACGCTCTGGTACATACCTACATTGTGTATGCAATGCATTTTGGTTACTATCAAGGTCCTAAACTAAACGTTTGCATAGATCCCTTCCTTCATCTGTTACTAAGAGCAGCTTCTGTCAGGGCAGATACATTTGAAAGATTCAATGCACGGTTGCTAGAAGTCAAGAAAAAAAAAACTGAGCAGTTAAGGTGTTTCTTGTGTTCAGCTGAAATTCTAGTTTTTACCGGAGCCAGATTTTTACTTGAAGCCAATTCCTTTGCTATATCCACGGTACATCTGGCAGCCATTTGCCAAAAACTCTCTCCCTCTGTCTGATCTCCTTCCCTCTCGTGTGTGTGTGTGTTGCCGCTGACAACTAGCTACGATGGGCCAGATTGTGAGAGCACTTTTGTCATGCCAGTCATGTCTGGCCCCGGCTCTGTGAGTCAGCATCATCCTGCTCTGCTATTTGCCCAGGGCCAGGTTCATTAATTAGAGAAGAGTCCTGTGGGAAGGTCTGTGTTTCTCTGCCCGTCGTCCCTCTCTCATTACAGATGTTTGTTAGAGAGGGGCCCCAGCAACAACACCGGGGGGCCGGGGACCATTACATAACAGCTGGGGTGTGGAGTCGACATTGCTGAAGTTTGGAATCATTCCAAGGAACGCCAGACACTGACACACAACCTAGGAGGATACATCTCTCTGTATTTCTATTATAAATTAATGTACTGTGTTTCAAGGGCATAGGTTAGATTTTGAAGATGGGGGCGACACATTTCAAGCGCTCCTCCCCTGGGAATACTTAAGTGTCAAGCTCTTCATTTCCTGCATTCAGATGAGATTGTATGCACCTATTTACGGTGAACAGTCTTATTTATGGGAAAGATATAAATAAAATGAAAAATAATGCGGAAAGTGACAATTCTGATTCATTTTGTTTTGCTTTCAAGTGTTTGTCCTCCTGTATAACTACTTTCTCTTTCAATGTTATCCCTGTTATGTCATTAAACATGTAGGCATAATATAGACTTCCCTCCTTGTGTCTTTAGTTTGGGAGAGTAACCTCTATAAAATGTGCATATATATTCCCGATACATCCATTTATTAAAATGCATTTTTAAAAGGATAGATTGTAATAGCTCATGTGTGTCAGAATTATTTCTGCTTATGTTCATAACCATCTAACACTTCCTACATTTGTATTTATATTTTGAAATGTTTCAACAGAAATAAGTCATTATTTATGATAATACGGTTTGACGGTATGAATATTTCAGGATCTGTAAAACTGTGTGTTTATTAAATACATTGACTAAACATTGACAGACATCTGTGGTTATATTGAACTTTTTTGATCATTATTATTGTGGTTCATTAGAATTTTGTAGGGACCCTACCATTCCTCTCAAATTATACACCTTTTGAATAGATTTCGTTATACAAAGCGCCTCTGTTGTGTGTATTTTCTCAAAAAAGTGTGAGATTGAATGTGAAAGTGATGGTTTGCTTTTTTCTGACTATGTAATATCCAAATAACAGCAGTCTTTGGAATATAATTATTAATATTCATTGCTGTTAAATCCAGTATTCACTCATGTAGGAAACTGTCAAAGTGCCACTCTCTTGTCAGGAATTTAGTTCAAAAACACACATATCACTGTGCACACCTGTGACGCTGTCTGAGAAACACTTTCTTACTGACATTTACAAAACAGAGAGATTGTGCGAGCAACGAGGAAATCAAATCTGAAAGCGCGAGCAGAAACACAGCAGCAGCAGCAGCAGCAGCAGCAGCAGCAGCAGCAATTACCAAACCAAAGTTTAGTACCCCATCCAGACTTATTAAGCTTAGTGGTGGAAATATCTGTCCAGGGACTCATTTAGGAGAAATTAAGTAATCCCAGAAACAGCCACGAACAGAAACACACAACAACAGATGATTAAAACTTTCACTGAGATTCAATCAATGCAATCGATGTCGCTGCAGAACAATACAGAGCAGTATATTCATGCACATTAAAATGTCTGTTTAACACCACTTGGCAAAAGCAAACAAGAAGACACACCATTATGATTGTAGAGCACATTGTTAGTCACAAATGCATGTCTAAAAGGAGGTTTTTTAACAGACTATAGCCTTGGGTGCAGTGACTCATGGTTACACATAACAGAGGAAGATTTGGCTGTTGGGCAATAATTCAGTCAAGGAGTTGCCGGAAAGCTCTTGCCCGCTGAAATTATTTGTGTGTTTCTGAGCTGACATTTTAAAACTCAAGGATCAAAGTGCTCCTCTTATCATTTTGGCACGGCTACCGCACAGTTACGCAAGCTCACATATGCAGGGAGGAGTGAAGGAAGAAGGAAAACTCTTAGCTAGGAGGCTAACTTAAGAAACATATTTGCAGAAATATGCAATGTGAGTAGAAGAATAAGGGAATAAGGGATAGACTTACCAATACAATGACAGCAGCCGGCCCAACAAAGGCATAAAGCAGACCGCCCTCCAAGGACAACCAGCAACTAGAGATGAAGATAAAAAAAAGATGTGTTTTAAGCATCACAGAAGTACAGTACTGTTTCAAATATTTCACTTCCCCACACGTAGGTCACACATTTCACTTGTTGTGAGTGCCAAACACTTCACCATAAACTAGTACAAAACCAATTAAACATCTTGAATTTTTTCTGAATGAGATGTGAAGCAGTCATGTGGCTTGGTTAAGTGCCTCTTTCTAAAGATATTGCCCTCAGTACTGAGCAAATCTATAATGTATATTACCTAAAACATATCCCCGAACCAAAAACCCTCTTGTGGAATTTTATTTAGTGTAAAAACGGAGAGTTAATGAGTTTAAATGTGTCCTCCAGTTGTGTCATCAGAGCACACTGGAAACCCCTGTGTTGTGTTAATTGCTGCTCAATAAAAAAAGGAGATGAAAGAACCCACAGCCCCAAAGCTGATATAAAGTCCTTTTATTAATGAGATGATAAGTAAAGTAAAAGGGAACCAAGTTGTAAACATATTTTAATCATGATGTGTTTTGATTTAATCGGTTGACTGATTAAGAGAGAATTTTGAGGGCATTTGTTGTTTAATCGTAAATCCAACAGTAACTGTCGATAGCGTATTTTAAATGTTCTCCTTCAATGTACATCTACCATAACAAGCGTTACATAATGCAACATGGCTGTGGATCAAATGTGTTAAAGTAAATGTACATCTATTTTTTCAATTATCTTTACATGTGTAATTGAATGTATTGAATTGTTTATGTTGTTCTTAAAGTGTGCCATCATTATTACATGTAATATATTGTTTGTATAACTTGTCTTGTCTAGAAAATTGTTATATTTTTTACATTAATTAGGTGAAGGCTCCAAATAAGCCCAGCAGGTTTTCTACATCTTCCTGCACTGTTCCTTATTCACTATCTGTAATATGTATGTATTTTTTATTTATTGTGCAAAACTATTACAAACAAACCACAACAAATACAAGTTTTTGATGGATTCAGAATATAATAAAAATATCTAAAGTCAAAATAAGGAAAAGCTAACTCTAATTTGGACTGTTCCTTATTTAGTCATGAATAAGTGACTGTTAAATGAATCAGATTTCCAACTTGTTTAAAGGGGCTTTAGTTCTGTGATCTTAATTTCACCAAACTTCAGTCAGATAGGAAGAAAGTGGTTATTGAAATTGGATGGATGGATGGTGAGAGAACAACTGATTGTTGTTTCTTGCTTTGTTGATAATAGTGAGCATCAACAACCACCTCTGCCAGATAGCTATTTTTTCTTTAAAAAAATAAATAATAATAATACAAATCTATGAAGCAAGAGACCTTCAGGGGGAAATAAGAGGATACAGTGCTTCAAACAGCAAAGGGATAACTTGTAATGCTTTGAATGAATGGCAGTAAATGTTGGTAAAAGTTGTGCTATGCTGAGTTATAATGTCCAAATCCAGCAATCCATAAGAATTCAGGGGGTCGCTATAGGAAGTGGTACTCACTAGCTTGCTGTGCCGTAACCTCTCGCTCTGGTGAAACCCACTGACACTGCTACAACTAGAGCTGGGAGACCTGCCGACACAGAGAAGAAGATCAAAAGGTGAGACAAATGATAAAAGGAAGTCTTAATGGGCACGATGAAGCATGCCGGCCAAATAGGATACTTCGGTGTGAACCACTCCATATGGCTCTTCCCATTCAAATGCTAAGCAGCCATGCAATAGCGTGTAACGTGTGCATGTGTGATTGAAACTGACATAGTGCTCTGTAGGTGAGCCCAAGTGCGCTGCATGTGCTCGCTGGCACACAGGGTAGCTACAGGCGTGAAAACTGGGCTCAGATCCCAGATCAGTGCAGGGAGGGAAGGTATCCTTAAGCCAATCAGGACATTCTTCTTTACCATAACACTGCTATAGGCAACCCACACACCCAGAATGCCTGTGGGTGAGTAAAGCATGTGAGACTGGAGAACAGTCCATACAAAATGTGAGGTATAGCTTGGAGTGGTCAATAAGTCATGCATTAATTAGCTAAATCAAGCAGCTGTGGGTGTGTCTGAATGTGTGTGTGTGTGTGTGTGTGTGTGTGTGTGTGTGTGTGTGTGTGTGTGTGTGTGTGTGTGTGTGTGTGTGTGTGTGTGTGTGTGTGTGTGTGTGTGTGTGTGTGTGCAAATGAGAGGCAAAGAGAGTGAGTTTGAGTGTCACAGAGCGCGTGCCAGAAAAAGAAGGAAATATGCTGGGCTCCGTAATGAGCTTGGCTCTGAAATATTCATGTAATTAACAAAGCTGTGATTATGGCTGCAAATGAAAAGCAATTAGAAAAAGTCACATTAAAATGAACAAATAAGATGGTGGGGAGCCAGGCTGGTCCACTAGGCAGCATGCGCTAAGTTTCAAACGGACAACGACAACATCAACCTAGCATATAGTGTTGTATAATACGCTAACACACACATTTACATTACACACACATACACTAAGGGTAATCTAAAAGGGATCAGGTAACACCTTAACGTCTCCTGTTTCCATGACAACTCATTTCAATCACATAAATTGTAGACAAAATATTGAAATGGGTGTGAGGAGGCTACGCTGTGTCATCCCCTTCACTCTGCTCCACTGTTTCATGCATTTTATGTGCAATTGTAAGTAAAGCGGATAATTATTAAGCCGCCACTGCATGATTCCCACACACACACACACACACACACACACACACACACACACACACACACACACACACACACACACACACACACACACACACACACACACACACACACACACACACACACACTTAGTCTCTCTCTATCTGCGACTATACAACAATCTATACATTCCGCCCTTTCTATCAGGTAAGGGCATCAGTGACTTGGCAGATTAGACTGGTGGGATCAATATCGAGTGAAACCAATGGACGATGTGATTGTGTGAGTGTGTGTGGTGTGAGCGTGAATGTGTGTGGAGATGGTGTTAGATGCTGTGGTTGCTATCTCAAAGCATCTTGCTAGTGTTGTGCAGATGGTGTCAAATGTTTCGATTATCCTCCACGGTGCACAATAGAGGGAATTGGAGGGTGAATAGAATAAGGGTGATGTACAGCTGAGAGGAATGAGATTATCTTGACTCTCAATGCCTACTGTGACCCTTTGTGATTGTGTGCACATGTAACAATTAACAGCCTTAGCTTCATTAAAAGTCAAATATTATACTGTTTTAAATCCTCAGATATACACAAAACATGTCTCTGAAGTGTTTGGCTCCAAATACCAAACAGATCATTGCAGCATCCCATAATCCCCTCTGTTTCAGCCCTGTTTCAAAAGTGCTGATTCTCTGTCTGTTACTTTAGATGAAAATAAGGAGCCCCTCCCCACGCCCCTCTGAGAGAGATTTGGTTACAAAGAACACAATGGTGCTCTAGGAGGAGATTCAGGTGATAAGGTGGGGGGGGGGGGGGTTACCTTGGTTGGTGATTGGCTAATGGTTACACAAGCCAAAACATCGTTATGACATCATAAAGTGGCCAAAATCTGATCAACTCATTTTCAGACAGGTTTTTATAGAAATGGATCAGGACAACAAGTGAGCAAATATTTTGTCCTGAAACTTTCAGAATCTCTTTACGCAGAGGGGACACATGTTTATGTAGAAAAGATATGAACAAGTGGATTTTGCATAATAGGTGACCTTTAAGTAAGATTATATTGGAGTGAAACGATGTAGTGTCCTTGAAACAGCAAATAGTAATGTACAGCAAAGAAAATGGGATACAAGTGAAAAGAGAGGAAGGTTATTAAGCAGAATGCAGTCACTTCTACTTCCAATTGCTTATTTTATTTAAAGCCTGTCTTGCTACTCAATCACACACTGTTGTCACACAACAGTGGTTCAATCAGCATCTAATTAATCTCTCCATTCGCTATGCTGAAAATCCTCTGGGACACAACGACAGATCATATTTCCCGTTACAGCAACGACAGACTACTTAAGCTTTCTAAGTGTAGTGAATGAGGCTACGATAGTGATAGCGTCTCTTTTGAAACGCAGTGACCAATGAGTTTCGAGTCGTTAACGCACAATGAACTGGCAAGCTGCAGATCCCAATGAAGGTTGTTGCAAGAAGACAAACTTAACGAATCACTCAACATTCTCAATCACGCCGAGTTAATTCTCACAATAAAAAGTAACCTTTGGAAAAGAGGTTACTAACTTTATGACTTCATTTATTAAAAATGACATCATCAAATAAAGGCTCACCCCAGCCGAGGCACAGGAAACGCTTGCGAATCAGTCGTGACCTCATTTTGCCAATGACGGCCAGATAGGACTGCCATGCCTCCGTCAGCACCCAGCAGAAGGACGCCAAGAAGAAGAAATGCAGGAAGGCGGCAGTCACAGTACAAAGGCCCTGAAGGGGAGACAAATACAGTCAAGGGAGAAAAGACATACATAAACGATGTGTTACACAGGTCGTGTGAGAGGTGTCATAATGAATCGTCTATTAGAGATACTCAGCAGAGGGAAACAAAACCTCCACAAAACAAAGAGGACTATGGCGGAAAGGGGCTCTAATAAAGCATGCATTGTTTAGAAGAAAAGGAGTCAGCCCTGGCACTGCTGTGTTCCTTATTGTGATCGATACTGACCACTACACAGTGCAGTCTTGCTTAGTCAGGGAGTACTCAGAGTGCTTTGTGCCAGCTTGCCACTTTGAGAACTCCACTGTGTGAACCTTGACAACACTTTGTATTTAAAGACTTTGTTGAATAGTGCAGCATTACTGGCATCATACACTGAACAAAAATATAAATGCAACACTTTTGTTTTTGCTCCCATTTTTCATGAGATGAACTCAAAGATCTAAAACATTTTCTATATAACAAAAATACCATTTCTCCCAAATACTGTTCACAAATCTGAAAGAATCTGTGATAGTGAGCACTTCTCCTTTGCCGACATAATCCATCCCACCTCACAGGTGTGGCATATCAAGATGCTGATTAGACAGCATGATTATTGCACAGGTGTGCCTTAGGCAGATAAATAAATAAATAGGCAGATAAGCCTATTAGGCTGGCCACAATAAAAGGCCAATCTGAAACGTGCAGTTTTGCTTTATTGGGGGGGTTCGAAAACCAGTCAGGTTTAACTCTAACCCTAACCCTAAAAACAAAAGTGTTGCATTTATATTTTTGTTAAGTGTATATGTGTTGACTGGGGAACATTTTTGTTCTGTCTCTCTGTGTTTATCTGTGCCTCACCTTGCTGAGCGTTTGAGATTGTCCCACCAGAATCAATAAATTGGAGGCCAAGATGGAGAGGCAAAAATTCACCAAGATGATGGATCTCTCCGAGCGTATGTACCTACAGAGTGACAGAGAGAGGGGAGAGGCATTTGCGATAAGTATTAACGACAGACTGACGGATTGAACAGCATCTTTTTGGACATTGGACAGAGTCATTTGCTTGATTTCGCCATCTGTCATGCATGCTACCAAAAAACGAATCACCACCCCCCTGCCGTAGTTGAAGCATTTGTTCTTTATTAGGCCTCATTGGAGTGTTGGCACAGAAGTGGGCATTGACAAATGGCAATTTGATATATTGGTTGGAGCCGGAATAGTGAGTGAAAACGCCCGCTGTCTGCACAATGGGATGTGTTTGTGTGAGCACACGTACCTCCAGAAGGCAGCGTAGATTAGCAGCAGGATGAGCAGAGCGGTGCAGGAGACCCCGCAGCCCACCATGAGGGGCACAGAGGGCATGCTGGAAGGACCCATGTCCTGAAGAGAGTGATAAGGAATGGAAGAGGAGGGGCAGAAGAGGGGAGAGAAAGATAGTTAAAATGTACCGCAAAGCATTATCCCACACATGTACCCTGTTTGCTTTTGATAAACCAAATGAACAACACGACTTTAAGTCACAGTAATGGCAGTTAGAGCATCAGTTTCCATCATCAGACATCTTAAAGTGAAAAGAAACAAAAGGGTTATATCCAAGCACAAACTCTCCTCTTCTAAAACAGGACACAATTATTCGCTTTAAGTAAAGGGTTGGTTCAGCTATTTGCCCCAAATCCCATTTGATTGGATACATTAATTTGCAAATCCCTTGGCTCACAGTGAGTCATCGCAAACAGTGCAACGGTTGACAAGAAGAAAAAAGAGAAGGGAAAAAGACACAAACAAAATGGAAGCACAAGACTAAAAACTGCACGATTATGATGGTGAGGTAAACATCGGCTTTATTTTTTTAACTAAATAAATAAATCACATTACACTATTGTGCTGGTAAACATTATAGATTAAAAACAATACAGCCAAATCCAAACAACCTTGTTTGCCAGAGACATGTTTGAAGCTAGTTCCTGACTCCAGTTTTATGTGACACCCTGAATGTTCAAATGCTGATGTTTACCGTGTAATCGGGGCTAGCGTGCAAAACATGAAAGCCAAATATCAAGATGGATAAGACAGATAAATGGATTGATGTTTGAGAAAGTGATAACTGACTGGAATAACCCATGGTGGATTATTTGGCTACATAGATTAGTGAATAGTTGGCACACTTCCCTTCTCGCACTTACAGGACCTGTTACTACCTGAGGTTAATCCCTTTGGTAGCCTCTTTTAACTGTGACTGCTAATTAAAGACAATTAAGTCTGTTAGAGGGAGCCGGATAATAACACATAATTACACTAATAGGAAAGTTGCTTTTTGTTAGCAGTATCTTCCCCACTTTGATGTTATCTATAGTACTTTCCAGTGTCACATACAGACCTTGTTATTATAATTATAGTTTCTATTCTGTGTGATTCACAGACACAAGGACCTATTCAGGAAATATACTGCTGCTCAGGTAGAGGATGTACACTGGAAATGATATGGAATGGCAGTTGTTGATTTCGTGAAGGGGTTAGGTTGTACCGTAGGAGAACATTTAGACTTGGTGAGGTTTGGACCTTTGCTAGGAGCCACATTTAGTAACCGAATACCCCTGCACTATAGACCATAGCGCATAATTAAGCGATTTAGGTCACGATGTACAGCGGACCTCTGCTTTGCCTCTCTCCCGAGGTGTTTCTTTGAAAGGATGAGGAACAGACAAATGAAGCTGCACGGAGAGCAAACTCCCTGCCGTGTCCCAAATGGGTTTAATGTTTGGCCTGCTTTTAAGTTCTCAATCACACAATTTACCTCAATTTACCTCCTAGGGTGGCTTGCCTTCCCTTTCATCCCAAAGATTGATCACTACCCTCCCACACACACACACACTGCACAAGGTGTCTTTTATAATAAATAAAGCACATGCTCACTCACAAAGGCATGTCCACGCAGATGTGCCAAGTAATTGAAAGTCAGTGTTTAAGCTGTGAGAATGTGTGTGAGTGTGTCTATTCAAGATGAGTTGAAGGCAGAGGAGGAATGCAAGAGATAGGACTTTAAAAAGGACTTAAAATGCAAAGTAAAAAGAAGAAAGAGGAGAGAGTTTTAAGAGGAAGAGAGATGGAGTGGGAAGAGTTTAGGACAACTAAGAGAAGAGGAGGAGGAGGAGGAAGAAACAGATAGAGGTAAAGAAAATGAGAGTCGATGTTCCTCTTTTAGTGGTTTTCCCTGGCTCATCAAAGGAAGCACGTTTCTCCAGAGGGAAGCTCAATAGGCTGGATTACCAATAAAGCATAATCACACAAAGGGAATGGGGGGAGAATGGAAATGGAACATAATCAAAACCACCTCTAAGACAGTCAAAAAAGGGAATATGACAAGCATCAGCTTCAGGAAAAAAGGAAAGGCTTTGAAGGAGAGTAGAAGACAACACAGAGTCAGTGTGTTTGATATTGTGTACAGAGTACGGTCAAAGAAAACATATGCATTGGTGTTTTTTGACAGATCAGACATGAGAGCGGCATAGGGAAGGACAAGCACACACTCCCTTACACACCTTCTTCTTCTATTATCTATTATAGTTTCACTCTAATTGGTAACCCACTCAATATATGTACCTCCTTAAGTTGTCCCTCAGCTTTGCATTATGTCAATTAGTTTGAAAGGGGTTTTTCTTAATTGGCATGGTTAGGTTATGTATGCGTGATGATTATGAAGCATCTAATGTCATAATGTGGAAGGATGCTACAAAGGAAGGAATGAAAAGTAACATCAGGCCTGAGGCTAAGGTGTCACACAAATGCCCTGCTCTGAATAGGTATAGTGATATTATGTTGAAGAAGGATGGGGCATGAGGGTGTGTTTTGTGAGTGTGCTGTGCAGTATGTGTGTGAGAAGAGAAAAACACACACAGAGAGAGAGAGAGAGATTACAGATTAGAAAAAGTGTGCTCAGGCTCATGCTGTATGGCCGGGCTCCCCTGGGCAGCTTGGCTACCATGTGATGGAGAAGATAGCTATTTTCAGCTCAGGAAGTTTAACCTACTTATCTCCTCTCACTGACACTCCTCCTCCTCCTCCTCCTCCTCCTCCTCCTCCCTCCACTCCTACCTATCTTGCAACCAGCCTCCTCCCTCCCTCCCTCTGCCTCTCTGTGTCTCCCATTCTTCCTCTTACTTCCTCCCCTTAACCTCTCACTCACTCCCCAGCAGTGGGTCTCTTCAATTCTCCTCTTTCACTCCAGGACCATCTGTACCTCCGTAATGATTTCCCACTAACTCTTAAATTCCCTTCTTAACTGAAAAGAGATCATGAAGATGTACAGTGCTGCGATCACAGAACACAGCACAATGCTCCATCTATTTAGGTAGTAGGATAGGAGGACTAACAAAAGACATATGGCATTGTATTACTTTTTCATGTAGTATAGTTTATTTGTTGTACAGTAGTCCCTTGGGCTATAAAAAAGTGATATTTATGTAAAAAGGTCCAGTTTTAAAAGGTTAGGAAAATAGATTTTGGTCATGAGTAAAACGAGAGTCTACAGCAGGGGTGTCAAACCAAATCCGGCCCGTGACTTCACTTCATGCGGCCCCACAAGAGCTTGCAAAAAATAGAATACTATTATTATACGGTATTAGCTTTGTTCGTTATTTTCACGTCCAGGAGAGAAGCTAAGGATAAATGAGACCAATGGAGTCTCTCGAATAAGGTTCAAAAGGGTACTTTAATTAAAATGGTGCGGTAATGTTACAAGCAGAGATATGGTTCAGGGAGAAAACAGCTGTCTTCTCGGCGTCTCGAGAGCGAAAGAAGGCTGTTCAGCTGCTTAAATATTCCTCCGATGGCCCCTACTGGTTAGCCGGTTGGCGCTGCTGGGGGCCGGCCCTCCACTCGTCTTCAATGTCCGTTGTTGCGCATAACAGAGGACTCAGCCATTGTACATTCAATTCATAACTAAACACGCCTTTTCTCCACATATTCTCTTTCATCACTTTTCATTTATTGCATTTTAACGGCTGTAATTCGTTACTTTCATAATACTGGAAATACTTCACGGCAGTTATCATTTCCGGTAGTTCCAGATGTTGTCATATGCTACCCACGTCTGTAAACAAAACAAAAATTAAAATAAACTGTACCTTCATTTAATATTCAGCAATAATAATATCTCGACCTCTATAGATGTGTACAAATCAGTAGGTTTCGGTGTGCAACACTCCTTGTAATTTCCCTTCTATATTCACCTCTATAGGGAAAGGAATATTAGCCACATGCTAAATGCTAACCGGAGATGAAGGGTTTTCAGAATAAAAGCTTGACATCAGAGATTGTGCGCGAGAACTTCTGGTTTTTCAGAATAAAACGGCATTTAAACTGACGGTATTATGCCAATTATGCCACAAAACATTGATTTTAATTTCTAACAACGGTTACAGGTCGATTTACAGAAGCACGTTGCCCATAAACTAAATGTCCACAATGCATCTCAAATTTGACTTTTTTCTCAGAATTTGACTTTTCTCTTTAAATCATTTTGTGACATTCTCACTTAAGAGACTTGCAATTATATGCCATAGACTTCTGCTTTCAGACGTAGTTAATTATGAAGTTATTACCCTATCCGATAATAATCCAATGCAGGGCAATAATGGAATATAAATCATTATTTTATATATTAAACATTTTATATATGTATTTTCTAATATAGTCTTGAAGAAGTTACAACCGGCCCTTTTGAGTGCAACCATAATGCGAATGTGGCCCGCGATGAAATTGAGTTTGACACCCCTGGTCTACAGCAATAGTAGCAGCTCTGTAAAGCTGCAATGCTCAATGCTAATATTGTCATGCTAACATCCTCCCATGACATTGCTAACATTATTGTGTAAAGCAAGTATAATGTTCAGGGTATGATTTAGTGAGCAAAGATGGATGCAATGTTTAATAATTCATAGCTCTGACTTAGCTAAACCTAAGTGACAACCCCTGACAAAAAATTGTAAACAGTTCAAATGTGACGAAAAATAGCAATGACGTTGTCTTCTGAGTGTGTGGATATAATAATAATATATTCGTCCAGATATATACTGTGCATTTCTAGTCCCAAGGGGTCCATGTCGGGAACAGGTAAACACAGTCTACTATGTTTAAAGGATTTATTCTAATAGATAATCCTGACTTTAAACTGAGCCCAGAGACATTTCCTCTCGTGAGTCTGTAAGTTATTATTAATGCTATAAGAAGATATCACTGGTTCTTTCAACTTAAGACATTTGCACACAAGAACAATATTGCATGTTTTCTAATGAGGCCACACTCAGACTCCAAATGCTTTATTATATAATTATTATTATTCTTCAGATGTCTTGTAGAGTCTATATATAATTTTCAAG